ACACCAAGAAGAAGAAGAGACCTGCTTGGGCCAAGAAACATGAGCAATGGACATCAGACTGGTGGAAATTTGCCCTTTGGTCTGGAGTCCAAATTGGAGATTTTTTGTTCCAACCGTCTTTGTGAGACGCAGTGTGGGTGAACGGATGATCTCCGCATGTGTAGTTCCCACCGTAAAGCATGGAGGAGGAGGTGTTATGGTGTGGGGGTGCTTTGCTGGTGACACTGTCTGTGATTTATTTATAATTCAAGGCACACTTAACCAGCATGGCTACCACAGCATTCTGCAGCGATACGCCATCCCATCTGGTTTGGGCTTAGTGGGACTATCATTTGTTTTCAACAGGACAATGACCCAACACACCTCCAGGCTGTGTAAGGGCTATTTTACCAAGAAGGAGAGTGATGGAGTGCTGCATCAGATGACCTGGCCTCCACAATCCCCCGCCCTCAACCCAATTTAGATGGTTTGGGATGAGTCGGACAGCAGAGTGAAGGATAAGCAGCCAACAAGTGCTCAGTATATGTGGGAACTCCTTCAAGAAAAGCATTCCAGGTGAAGCTGGTTGAGAGAATGCCAAGAGTGTCATAAAGGCAAAGGGTGGCTATTTGAAGAATCTCGAATATAACATATATTTGGATTTGTTTAACACTTTTTTGGTTACTACATTTATTTTATTTATTTATTTATTTATTTTATTATGTGTTATTTCATAGTTTTGATGTCTTCACTATTATTCTACAATGTAAAAAATAGTAAAAATAAAGAAAAACCTTTGAATGAGTAGGTGTGTTCAAACCTTTGACTGGTACTGTATGTATATATGTATGTATACTGTTGCTACATATGCCTGAGGGGACTTGAAGGGCGATGTTGTGGTCTCATGAGATGCTTTATCAGCAAACAGTAAGTGAGAGATGGAAAATGCATGACGCAATAAATGTTTATTGACACCTCTGGCAGAATTCATAATTTCTATTCCTTCTTGACTTTGTTTTCTCTTCGCAAACTCAGCCTCATGGTAAGCAATATTTTCATTTCTGACACCTGGGAATGGGTTTCAAATTAGACTAATTTATAAGTCATAGTGAACTGCAGCAAAAATAAACTACTTTAAAACTAATATTTTATTGGAAGAGCTGCAATGGCATCGATAATCAACATCATTAATATCATGGCTACATTACCTAAATTGTACACATACTGAGATAGATGGGCAAACTGTGTTATCAAGAAACAGTTTGCCCATCTATCTCAGTATGTGTACAATTTAGGCAATGTAGCCATGATATTAATGATGTTGATTATCGATGCCATTGCAGCTCTTCCAATAAAATATTACACTGTGACATATAAATGAGTCTAATTTGAAACCCATACCCCTGGCTATGTACTGACATATTTACTTTAACGTCAATGTATCTTATTGTTTTTACACATTGACTACCTCTCTTGTATCTGTCTTTTCCGCCTCTTCTCTCTTGTGTAAATACATCTCTATACCGTACCTGGAAAAAACCCAACAAGATCTTACACTTCTGATCTTGATTCCCTCCAATGCCCTTGTTTTATTCAGCTACTGCTTACCCAATATCTCCACAATCACACAAAAGACCACTGAAGCCTGTGAACCCAGCTTCTCACTCTCTCACTCTCACACATTCATTCACTCACCTACTCTCACCCCCTCACTTACTCACTCACTCACTCACTCACTCACTCACTCACTCACTCACTCACTCACTCATTCACTCACTCACTCACTCACTCACTCACTCACTCACTCACTCACTCACTCTCACTCTCCAGCTTTCAATGAGACGGCCTCAGAGACATAATTGCTCCCTGCAACAGAGAAGCCGATCTCCATTCCATTAGAAGCTGTACAATATGTATGGCGGTGAAGCAAAGCTTACTGTTATTCAGCCATTTATATACATGCAGGTACAGTGCATTCGGAAAGCATTCAGACCCCTTGACTTTTTCCACATTTTGTCACGTTACAGCCTTATTCTAAAATTCATTGAATTGTTTTTTCCCCCTCATCAATCTACACACAATACACCATAATGACAAAGCAAAAACACGTTTTTATAAATTTTTGCAAATGGAATGGAAATATCACATTTAGATAAGTATTGGAAGCGATTACAGCCTTGAGTCTTCTTGGGTATGACGCTACAAGCTTGGCACACCTGTATTTTGGGAGTTTCTCCCATTCCTCTCTGCAGAGCCTCTCAAGCTCTGTCAGGTTGGATGGGGAGCGTCGCTGCACAGCTATTTTCAGGTCTCTCCAGAGATGTTCGATCAGGTTCAAGTCCGGGCTCTGGGTGGGCCACTCAAGGACATTCAGAGACTTGTCCCGAAGCCACTCCTGCTTTGTCTTGGCTGTGTGCTTAGGGTCGTTGTCCTGTTGGAAGGTGAACCTTCACCCCAGTCTGAGGTCCTGAGCACTCTGGAGCAGGTTTTCATCAAGGATCTCTATGTACTTTGTTCCATTCATCTTTGCCTCGATCCTGACTAGTCTCCCAGTCCCTGCCACTGAAAAACATCTCCACAGCATGATGCTGCCACCACTATGCTTCACCTTAGGGATGGTGCCAGGTTTCCTCCAGACGTGACGCTTGGCATTCAGGCCAAAGATTTCAATCTTGGTTTCATCAGACGAGAGAATCTTGTTTCTCATGGTCTGAGAGTCTTTAGGTGCCTTTTGGCAAACTCCAAGCAGGCTGTCATGTGCCTTTTACTGTGGAGTGGCTTCTGTCAGGCCACTCTACCATAAAGGCCTGATTGGTGGAGTGCTGCAGAGATGGTTGTCCTTCTGGAAGGTTCTCCCATCTCCACAGAGGAACTCTGGAGCTCTGTCAGATTGACCATCGGGTCCTTGGTCACCTCCCTGACCAAGGCCCTTCTCCCCCGATTGCTCAGTTTGGCCGGTCGGCCACCTATAGGAAGAATCTTGGTGGTTCCAAACTTCTTCTATTTAAGAATGATGGAGGCCACTGTCTTCTTGGGGACCTTCAATGCTGCAGAAATGTTTTGGTACCCTTCCCCAGATCTGTGCCTCGACACAATCCTGTCTCTGAGCTCTACGGACAATTCCTTCGACCTCAAGGCTTGGTTTTTGCTCTGACACGCACTGTCAACTGTGGGACCTTATATAGACAGGTGTGTGCCTTTCCAAATCATGTCCAATCAATTGAATTTACCACAGGTGGACTCCAATCAAGTTGTAGAAACATCTCAAGGATAATCAATGGAAACAGGATGCACATGAGCTCAATGTCGAGTCTCATAGCAAAGGGTCTGAATACTTATGTAAATAAGGTTTTTCTGTTTGTTTTTTAAAAGAAATTTGCAAACATTTCTAAAAACCTGTTTTCGCTTTGTCATTACGTGGTATTGTGTGTAGAACGCAGAATTATTATTTTTTAAATCCATTTTAGAATAAGGCTGTAACATATCAAAATGTGAAACACGTCAAGGGGTCTGAATACTTTCCAAAGGCACTGTATATTAGCTGAAAAGTTTCATTTTCCTCACACAATGACAGAACTACAGAAGAAAAGTGTTTAAGAAAAAAGACTCTAGGTGTTATGGTGAAAGACAAAGAGCGACTGTTATGCCGATGTTTCTGACATTGGTGTTAAGTTATTATTGCATGAATCAAGGAGAGTGTAATTACTTTATGTAAGCACAGTGCAAATGTCAGACCTGATGCAAGTCATCCAACTGAGCAGAATGAGAAAGTGGAGTACATCAGTATTGAACACACACTCCAGTGGGTTTGTTATAACACTCTACTTAGTGGCCATATCTGAATGAATCTCCTACCCTATGAGCCCACTACTCAGTGGCATGGTTTGCTGCCTAAAGGCAGGTCGGGTGAATAACACCACAGAGTTAACCTTGAAGACTGAAATTCGGGGATGGCATACTGAACACTGAAATAACCATTAGGAGCAATGAGGAATGTGACTGTTCACTGGAAATGAACCTGAAACAAACATATACTGCATAATGAGACAGGGAGAAAATATGATTGTCTGCATACCTCTTACTATTCAGGAGGGGAAACCTTGCTATTGATGTCATGCTAGTCCACATGGAATGATGAGGACTCTGAGACGGTCATCAGCTACTATAACAGTCCCTTCAGGTTCGTCTGAGGGGTTGAGTTATCAATAAACCAACCAAGATCTATCCTCTGGAGTTAGTTTTCAAAAAAAAGAAACCCTTCTGAAGCACCATTCAAGCATTCTGAAGATTCTGAAATGGTAGTGATGATATTAAATGAAGAAGGATCTTTCAAGCATTTCTCATTCCAATAAGAACAGAGTGAGTTTAGATTCAGAGTGCTTCCACTTGGCTGAGGAGAAACATTTTCTGAATTTAAATGATAGCAATTCTTCAACCAAGCCTCCGCTCACATGATGCGTTAAATTCAACTCAAATCAGCTGCAAAGATATTTACATTTTCAGTATAGGGCTTTAAGGCCTTTGGGTTGACTGAATATTTATTTGCATTAAGGGTTTTCCCTTAACTTTCTAACTTTGCAGAGTTTAAACATCTCTCTGTTGACGCCTCTGGCTATTCAATCTTAAGCTATAACCCTTAAGCTACAAAAAATAAGGAAACTTAATCGTGAGCCATTCCAAAGACAGGAAAATATATTTCATAAATCATTTCACCAGTAACTTCTAAGTGAGCCTGCGCTACTGTACCTAATATTGGATTTGTAATTACTGCTATTGTGTTCCAGCACACTAGCCTTTCCTTTCCACCCGGCAATCAGAACCCAAACCCACTAGCTTTAGCTGAATAGGCTCATTAACAACCCCAACTTTTCTAATGGCATTTCTAACTACTTTTTTGTGTGGTTATGATGTAATACCTTCATGTTGTAACTTCTCAAAAATAAAGGTCTCCATTTGAGTCTAGTAAAGGCATGTGGATGTATTTGATAAGCAGAATGAATCAGTGTTGTTGTACTCACCCGCATGCCAAGCTCAATGTTCTCGCCCCCATAGACTTCCATGCCAGGATCAAGGAGGCCGATCTCGCCAAAGTATTCTCTGTCCACCACAAAGGAGCAGCCGATCATAGCTGGCGTCCTAGATGAAAAGAGAAAGAGGGAGAGAGGGGGAGAGGCTTTCAAAAACTGTGTTCATTCCCATGTCATTGTCTTGATTAGCTTCAGTGACAAACCTTTATATACCCACAGTGCATTCTGTTGATTAGAGCCTTTACTAAAACAACAGGATTCATAATAATGTTTATAACTACTGCACACAAGGCAGTTTGCACCCCGGGCTACATTGCAGGCCGATACACGATTGACTTGAATTGATTTAATTTCCAAATCTACGCAGAATTAACCTTGGAAAACACTTGAATAACAATGCATTTTAAATGTGTTGCTATAAAAAAAAATAAGAGGACACCATTGTTTTCTCTTAATTGTACATCTACATGTGAGGTACAAGTGCACTCAGACATGAATGGGTTTTGATAAATCTACATTCTGTGAAAATACCACAGGCTCAGGGTTTGGCATGTCTTTAGAAATGCATTTCTCCATGGGTGTCACTGTTAAAACCTCAAAAGGACCAACTTCCAGAGACATCCTTATAATACAATATAACTAAGTCTATAATAAAGCTTTTCAAGAAAGATTGCTTTAGGGACATTTGAGGGGTATGAGGGGAAAGCTATGATGGGGACAATGTCCACTAGTAAATATAGATGACACTGTCAGAAATGGCAGGAAGCTTTCACTTGGAACACACACACATTACATTTTAGTCATTTAGCAGACGCTCTTATCCAGAGCGACTTACAGTTAGTGAGTGCATACATTTTCCATACTGGCCCCCCGTGGGAATCGAACCCACAACCCTGGCGTTGCAAGCGCCATGCTCTACCAACTAAGCTACAGGAGGCCTGCCATGAGACAGCCGCCTGTGGTGGCCTGAGGATAGGATGGGCCACCCTTTTCCACTCCACTCCAGCCTGCTCTCACTCTCAAGATCTCTAAAGTCGTTTTATTTCCGGACTATTGTCACCATAGGCATGCTTTTACTGGCTTTATCCATGGAACTTTAAAATGCTCTGTGACAAAGATTTCATACGTTATATAAAAATATAGCAGTCCATGCTGTGTGATGGCACACAGCGTTAAAAAGCTTATTTTCAATCTGATCAGTGGGTAGCTGTTGTCTACTGCAGCATGGTGCCTGCAGTTAGTACACCATACATTAACATGCACAGTGGAGAGTGCAATCCTCTACGGCTGGGCCTACAGTAAGTTAGTGGAAGGTTATTGGAGAGGAAGGGTGAAGAGGGAACTCTATAATGATTTCATTGATACTAGGTTAATATTCAAAATAATGTTGTTTCTTTTTCCCAAAATAATCTGCATGGAGTGTGCTTTTTGAAATTATTATGTGGGGGAAGAAAGAAAGACACACACACACACTCAAAAAACAACATAAACATGTCTAATTCTCTCATCAAAAATGATTTGTCACCACACTCCTTTCTGCACAGTCAATGCTCTATAGATATCTGGCAAAAAGCTCCCTTTTCCAATGTACACACTACTTAAACACTCTCATCCTCTGTAGGGTTTTCACCTCCTATTCTTATGTTATGACGTTTTCAGCCACTCTTTGTAACCTGCCAAAGTTTATAAAAGAGACGCGTTTGCTTTTATATTGAACGTGCCCAAATACATGAGTGCGAAGGCAATCGGTCTCAGCTCTGAATAGCCATAGGCCTACGCTACATCTATTGTTGATGGGCAGAGAGCTTGAGGAAACAAGTACAGAAATGATTTCCAATATGGATCCACACGGCTGACACACTCTACCTGCCCCTTGAGGCGCTCTGTCCATTCATAGCAAAGTGTCAATAACAGGACTGCAAATAGCAAACAGCACCTGCAATTTTTGCAGTCATTCTACTGCTGTTTTTTGACACAGAATTCTTAAGCCCATGCTTAACATTACTTGTAATGCAAGGCACATTTTGGACAGAAAATGTCTGTCTAACTGGCAATGCATAGTTTGGTTGTATGCAATTCAAATAGTGATAAGCAAAGTAGCATAGCCATGTCGTCAGAACAGCCTGTTCGAAATGTTCCTCAGAGAGGGAAGTCTGAGTCTCATCTTGTCTCTGCTGTCGCTCTTGGTTGCCTCCTGACATTGTGGGAAATTACAATCATATGCTAATATGCTTTAATGCCTCAACAAGAAGACAAATGGCCCATAAGTTCAGCAGTCAGCTCCAGTGTTCACACACAGCATTTGGGGTTATATGAATAATTAATTGAATCTCTTTATGACCTGATTTACCAAGTGCGTGTTGTCGACCTTGCCCAGCTAAACACGTCTGGAGAAATATGACTGTTTCTGTGTGATCTAGGAATTATGGTATAACACTCTAATCGTGAACATATTAATTAAGCAATAATACATGAGAGGCCATGTGTTATGACATATCACAATGGGCTACCAGCATTAAAAAGCAAGATTCTTTCCCAAAATATACATTTTTCAACAAAACGTGATGCTACATTCACTAACACTGGTTGTCCAGTGCAATATTAGGCATTCTCTGGTCGTTAGTTCTATTCGTATTGACTGCCATGTAATGCAAAACTACGTAAGGCTGGTTGATAGTTCCAGAACTTTGTAGGTTGTAGGTTGCAAACAAAAACTGTTGCTATTAACTTCCCCCCTTGCTAGCCAACTACACAGCTAACACAATCACTTCAGACTGAAGCTGGAAAGACAGCAAAATAGCTGCATTTCGTTTCATCACAGACACACCTATGCTTGCTAACGGTTCCATCTGAAAATGATCACTGCGCCTCCATAAGAATATCGTGTTCATTTTGCTGTCCGAAACCTCTCTTGTATTTATCTCAACTAGCACATTTTTTCTCCTTGCTTCCAGCCTAGCATTTAGTTTGGTACAGCGGGTTTAATATAAGCCTCGCTGTCTGCCTGCCTCGGAAACAATGTTTCCCTTTTGAATTTCGATCTCTGTAGCTAGTACCATACATAGAGTGAACGGTGCCCAGACGAGACAAGACAACTTTTTCTGAGCCAGTCTAAATCACATATCCAAGTAAATGCCAATAGAAAATAAGCTCAAACAAACGAAAATCCAGCTAGAGTACCCTCATTCCATGTTAAATGTTTGACGTGAGTGACTGAGTTAGCTGCAGTTGCCTAGCTAGCTAGCAAGTAACAAGACAAGTTATCCAGCCTGCATAGCAACCATTTTGTTTAGATCTGATGACCAGTCCTTTTGCATAGCAACTGTGCAAAAGTAATTCATGACTGGGGTCGTGTCTGTAGCAACATGACCAAAATAACTAACAACCAGATTTTTGTCTGGACTATCCACCTCATTTTCTAACGTTGCAATGGGCACAGCCAAACAATGGAAGTGATGGATTCCACTTCTACCTTACTTACCTACTGCAGCGCACCTGTGGCAAATTTGCTAGAGTAAATAATTTGAACGAGTCAATTTATAGAGTATAAAAGTCAAGTAAACAAGTGTAAGTGTAATTTATATGGATTTCATTCAAGTTCACTAACGTTAGCTAGACCTACTAGTAGTTATGTTGTGATAGTTACGTTAGTTGTGTTGTGTAAGAGTTATGGGCCATCCACCAAGCCAATAACTATAACGATAACTATAATGATCAACTAGGCTACATAACTATAAAACATTGGTGAGCATCCACAGGAAAGTTGATCGGTCTGCAGTCCTACACCTGTCAATCAACTGATCAACACATCCTACTGCACACTGCCTATTAATAAGGTGGTAACACAAGACCATTCATGAAGTCTCTAACGCACAGATACTGGTTCAGACCATTCAGTGCTTTTAGGGTGTGTTCATTGTCATAGTGACAACTGCAAATAATACTTCAATGTACATGTAGCCCTAATGAAAAATAATTGAGTAACTTGTATTAAAAAATGTAGCAATTCCACAACAACGCCCTTAGCCAGCACATATTTTACAGCATGTCATTGCCTCATTGCTCAAGTGGTTTGCGAGTGATTTCCATAATTCTAATCGTTGTCAATTCCTTTGGGTCTTCTTTTTCACTGTGATCATCTAGGCTATGTCCTGTGCAACTATTTGCGATGAATCAGTGCAACAATGTTATCATAAAAAGCCAAAAGGGATTGTAGTGTATTAAGATTATGACTTTGTTAATGTTTTCAAGTGGAACCTGAGAGGATGTTTATTTTAGTGTCAGAGGGAATTGTTTTAGTGTGACGCCACATACAACAGACAGGAAGTGTGTGTTGTAGACAGGGGATTGGACAGTAGAGGGAGCCACCCATATCTTGGGAAGATTATATATACTGGGTAAAAACGAAGAAGAGGTTAGAGCGGCCATTGCAATCTGGGACGCCGCTCTCCGGGTGGTCATGACATCCGTAAACTTATGCTGGAATCTTGTGATATGAATAAACCTTATGATCAAAGGTTCAGTATGAGCAGACTCCTTTGTTTATCAGCAATAACTAGCGACATTGACTCGACACTACAGGATCACACCAATGCACTTTCTCTCCTCCCCGAAATGCATTTTCTATGCTATAAGCCTGTTTTACATTCAGCAATTAGTAAAAACAAGCCTGCTTCTATCCCCAAATAGGCTATTAGGCTTAGTATTTTTAAAAAGTATCAAAATAAATGTCCTCTAGCTTTTGCTGCCTATAGCTGTCCTGGGATTTCACGAGAAGAGGAATGGCCTGTTACGGAGAGGCTTGAGTTGTAAACTGCAGTGATGTAGGCTAATTTGAATAACAGCTCAAACGTCCTGTTTAGTTTCATGCCGAAATAACTGCATAGGCCTACAGCCTAGGCCTGATTATGCAACCATTTAGATCAGTTTGGGTCTATTCTCGACAGTTTAGAAGAACAAGCAAGGTACCTTAGCAGGCCACTCAAATGGTGTATTTCGTCAGGATGTATCCCGGTGTTAAGATAGGCCTACTATAGGAAAATGTGGGGTTCTCCTTTCCAACTCCCGCCCGTTCTTAATGCTGTAGCCTATTTTACATTCAGCAAGCAAGAGCAAGTGTGCAGCTCTCCTCCAATCGTCTATTAGTAGGCTAAAGAAAAAAGTTTGAATTAAGTATCCAACAAGATTTTGTAGTATGGCTTTTCCTGGGACTCCACAAGATATAAAAGGAATAGCCGTGGCAGTTGAGACGCAGGTGCTTAATTATGCAACAGAACAGAGACAGGCTTGAGATGTAACCTATAGCCTAAATAAAAGCGTATGCATATTAGCTCAATGATAGGCTTAATACTGCAGTGAATCTATTCAGAAAGAAAACAAGTTTATCAGATAAGGAAATCATAGGTAGCTACACTATGTGCGCTCTCGAAGGCTGCGCTGAGTGCGCTCCCTCCCAGTCCCCAGGTATGCAGCTGGAAAAGTTAATGTTTCAGTTTTTTAGGGACAAGAAATGTATCCTACCCAGGCTACAACAACACAGTGTAAAGAAGAATGTTATTATTGTTTTCAAGTGAGTACAAAACTCTAGTCTAGGCTGTAAACTGCAGTGAATAGCCAATGTAATAGTGGCGCGGGGGTCAGCTGTTTGTTTACCTGCACCCGCCCGCAATTGCTAAAAACCCATCCACAACCGCCTATGTGATACAGTGAAAATCTGAGGCCCGCACACAACCCTAAACCGCAAATATAGAAAATGCATATTTTATGTGGTTGAAATACTATCAGCTTTTATGATGCTTTTATGATGAAGACAGCACCTCTACAGATGGTATCTAACTGAGCATTACATTCTCTCAAGATGCAGAAAGAAGGAAATCATATTTCTCCACTCCTGTTCCCAAGTCGAAATTTTGCCTACATTTGGTGTATAATTTGACTGCAAGAAATGCTTAATTCTGCAGGAGTTATTATTAAGTCTATAGCCCTATTTGCACGGGACTAGTATTACTAGAGAACGTTGGTTAGGTATGTATTACCCCAGAATGTCCGTTATTCCAGAGGCGCAATATTTTTTTTTAAATTATGCATTTGGCAATGTTCATTTCATTCGCACAAAACGTATCAAACGATTGGCTGTGTAGGCTATTTGGCGTGTGTATGGTTAAGCCCTAAAGTTTAAGCTTATGCAGTAATACCAGATAGCCTAAGATAATTAAAGAAAAACCTCAATGTAGCCTATATAAATTGCACAATAATGGCACATTTATGGATTTTTTAAGGTATTGTTTCTCTTTATTCAACCTGCCCGCCACCTACACAATATTTAATGACCCTAAACCCATCCGCCCAGCGGATATAACCAGCGCATCACTACTAAATTATGACATTTGAATAACCACTCAAATGCCTGGCATTTTGAATGCATCCCGGTATTCATTTAGAAATAACTGCATCTAGCCTGCCTGATTGGGCAACCATTTGAATCAGTTATAGGTTTTTTTTTCGGCAGTTTAGTTTACAAGGTCCAGGCACATAAGAGCAGTAATATGTTGTATTTTGTCAGGATGTTTCTGTTTACATGAACATTCTAATGCTGGGATTTGTAGTGGCTTGCATATGAATTATGATAATGCCCGAACATGGAGGAAGTTGTATCCATAGTTTCCGCGTTTGGCTTCCGTGTTTTAAAAGTGTTCGAAAATTAGGTGGATATCTTCTGGTGGAAGAATGAAATTGTATGAATTGACTTATCAAAATAACGTTTTAATGAAAATATGTAAATCATTGTTATTTTAATATGCTGGTAACAGTTTTATATTTTTATTCGGTTTTATTTACTGCAGTGTCTATTAATTGTCCAAACGCACTGGCAAATTTATGAAAACGTGAAAATGACCATATCTAAGTGCTCGCTTGTCAGAAAATGTTTTTAAAAAAAAGTGTAATATTCTTTCTGGGGGTATATATGAACAGATTTGAATAAGATTTCATGTTGCTAAAATGCTGTAAGTTCCACTTTAAGTATATCATGGACAGGATAGGGTCTTGCAATGGGAATTCCAAACCACCCATTGTATAAAAATACATCAAACATGATTTACCTGAGGCCCCTAGGTGAATCTTTATGGTAATAATCTATGATTACAGTGACGACATTGCTTCCATACAATGCAGCACCAACACAATAAACAGTGTAAACTAGAGTAATGTACAACGCTCACCCACCGTATGCAAAACCATTAATGACCCAATATCAAGGCTTCCTCTTGTGCACCGCCCGCATCAATATTAAGATATTTATCATTTTAATTAGATACTTTTTTCAATAGAGAGGTTCACTTTTGGTTGTTTGGCCTGTACACTTGTACCGAAGACCTATAGAGCCATATAGTTGATGGCTCTAAAACTGTTTAAGTCATATCCGGGACCTAGCTATCCATATTTCATCAAAGATCCTCATCTATAATGGAGGGGGTGCTCAGCTATGGTGAGGGGTGTTACCTGATGGGAGCCGTCTCATCGCCCTTGTCCAGCCACTCCTGAGGAGGGATGATGTACATGCACCACAGGCCCCAGTTGTAGCCGTGGGCCGCGTTGGCGTACTGCTGCACCTCAAACGTGTTGAACTTGATGTTGTCAATGGCCGGGAGGATGATCCGGGTGTGGTCCTCCTTTACCCTGGTCAGGATAGGCTCCGCCCTTAGATAAGAGAAGAGACAGACATCAGGGATGAGCTACTGTGCTGTGACACTGTCATAGAATAGTTTTCTCAAGCACAACCATCAAACAAAAAATCCATCAACATCCCTTTAGGTGGGTACAGTAAGGAAATAAATTGAATACATATGCCCAGCAGTATTGGCTCCCTTGAGATCTTTAGCTACTATTTCTCATGTACAGGGTTGCCAGTGATCCTCAATAAAATCCTTTCTCCAAAAGCCTGCCAAAGTCTTCAACAGTGGCTCGTGCTCTAGGGTGTTTGTTTGGCACATTCTGTGTCAGAGTATATCAAGCAGTGAGCAGCAGCCTCTGTGCTGGTGTCCCCTGGTCATTGAAGTGGCTGGCTACAGAGTTGATCTGTTTGTTTCCTTTCTTTCCTACTCCTTTGGCCTAAGGCATGCATGCTGATACCGTTAGGTAGATGGTAAGGGAATAATCGAGGGTCGCTGTCAATTCTTTCGCCATACTGTCAGCCCTGGCTATATTTTGATCATCTGTCTAAAGTTGGAAGGTCTGCTTCAGTACAGTTTTAAAGCAAATATCCAACCTAGAAGCATGATTCTCAATCTGACAGGAGGCTGCAATTATAATTAAGGTAACTCTTAAACTTAACTCTCTCCATTCTCATCCTCTATCTCTCTCACCACCTTTTCTTAAACTCTCTATCCCCTTCTCTCTCGCTTCCTCCCCGTTCTCTCCATTTCTTTAAAACCAAGCCCATTTATCTTCCAAAAGCAGAATTATTCTTCATCACATCAAGGTAGTGGAAAGCGTGCAGGGGAATGGATCCAAATGGAGCTATAAGTGGGTTTGCCAGTAAAAATGACTGACAGAGGCACTACTTGGTAAAAGCAATCATTTAATAACAGTGGAGTGATTGTAAAAAGCTTCCCATCTCATTGAGAAATATTGGCACATGAGAGACCTGGGCCTCTACTTACTTTAAGGCATAATGGCAATGATAAAAGTCTGCATGGGAGAGGAGTTGAGTTCACCATCTGCTGTTGGAAAGTTGGTTTGTATCCAGGTAAAGAAAGGTGTTGCTGAACCAAGTTGTCTGACAAACATGATTTACCGTATGTGCTTTGAAGTCAAACTTGAATGAGGAAAACAGTCAAACTTGAATGATGAAAACGTAATAATTGAAGGGTGATAAAGAATATTGTAATGCTACTTTATATTGTCACTGAACACTTTGAAATTAATTGAAGATGACTGCATTAAGCTTCATTCAACGCTAGGATTTTTGGATAGCCCTAATCCCCCAGTTATTTCTGAGCTATCTATTGACATTGATATGTCATTTCTCAGCCAGCAAATACTATTAAATATAGATTTAATTATCCTTAGAATGAGTAGGCTATGTTTTAATTCCATCAACAACCTTCTGTAAGCTTCGCATTGCCATGTGCCTAACATGGATAGGCAAGGATGAATACAGTATCACATGCTGAGATGTTGCTGGATCCTGTATGCATTCTCTAAACTTGAGGACCCAGAACCCCCCTCTTCTCCAGTTCACTCCATCAGCCATTCATCTTCCCTTGTCCTTCAGAGGGTACAGTAGCACCCCAGAGCTAGCTAGCAGCATGCTCAACACTAGCTACCTCACTAGGTACCTCAGGGGTCCCAGTGTTGATGAGAGAGAAGACAAGGCGTAGAAACAATGAGGGATCAGGTTTGACTGATGAGGGTCGTCATTTCCCCCCTTTGCTCTTCCTATCTTTTCATATGCACCATCACTGTGAGGGTTATTCACAGTCCAGATTCAATCTGGTTTCATATTCAAATAGTGTTTTTTCCCTCAGCGATGGCTCATGTAATATTGTGAATACATTGTGGTAATAGGTCTCGCCATTAGTTGTTATTCTAGAGCTTCTCTCATTTTATCGCTACCTTGTCTGGTTTCAAGCCTTTTTCAAAAAACGTACAGACGTTTTGGAAAAACGGATTATTGTATGCGTTGTTTACTACTGTCACGATAGTCAAAAGGAGCGGACCAAGGCGCAGCGTGATATGAGTACATACTTTTATTTTAATTCACCACACGAACAAAAACAACAAAACGATACGTGAAGTCCTCGGTAACATACACAAACCTACACGGAACAAGATCCCACAAAACACAAGTGCACAAAAGGCTGCCTAAGTATAGTTCCCAATCAGAGACAACAAGCAACAGCTGATTCTCGTTGCCTCTGATTGAGAACCACCCCGGCCAACATAGAAACACTTAAACTAGATCGTGAACATAGAACACAAAACATAGACCCTACACACCCTGGCTCAACATATAAGAGTCCCCAGAGCCAGGGCGTGACAGTACCCCCCCCAAAGGCGCGGACTGAGACCGCGCCAACATAAACCCAACAGGGGAGGGGCCGGGTGGGCATTCCGCCTCGGAGGCGGATCCGGCTCCGGGCGTGACCACCACCCTCTAACAACCCCCCCGTAGCGCCCCTGGTCTGGTCTGGCCCCGCTGGCTGGAGCTGGACTGGACATCGGTGGAGCGGATTGCTTAGGCTCCGGTGTGGAGCAGCTGACCGGTACCTGACCAGGCACCGGTGAAACAGGCACGGGCTGTGCCGGACTGACGACGCGCACCACAGGCTTGGTGCGGGGAGCAGGGACGGGCCGGACCGGGCTGGCGACACGCACCACAGGCTTGGTGCGGGGAGCAGGAATGGGCCGGACCGGGCTGACGAAGCGCACCACTGGCTTGGTGCGGGGAGCAGGAACAGGCCGGGCCGGGCTGACGACGCGCACCATTGGCTTGGTGCGGGGAGCAGGAACAGGCCGGGCCGGGCTGGCGACGCGCATCACAGGCTTGTTGCGAGGGACAGGAACAGGCCGGACCGTACTGGGAACACACACCACTGGCCTTGTGTGGGGATCAGGAACGGGCCGGACCGGACTGGTAACACACCTCAGTACCTCTCGCCGTGCCTCTACACTCTACTTCCCTCTACTGACCAATGGCCCCCGTAACCTGGTGGCCTTCTCTCCTCGTCCACAAAATCGCTCTGTATCTGCCTCCAGCAGCCCCGTCGTCCATGCCGTGTGCCCCCCCAAATTTTTTTATTGGGGTTGCCTCTCGCCTGTCCGACGACGACACTGTTGGCGCCGTACCTCCTCTCTCGCCAGGGCTTTAACTTTAGCCCATGGCCCTTTGCCCGCGAACATATCCTCCCAGGACCACCATTGGCCCACCTGGGCCATCGCCAACCTCTCCAGCTCCTTACCCGGCGTTTGCTCCTGGAAACGCTGCTTGGTCCCGTTTTGGTGAGATCTTCTGTCACGATCGTCAAAAGGAGCGGACCAAGGCGCAGCGTGATATGAGTACATACTTTTATTTTAATTCACCACACGAACAAAAACAACAAAACGATACGTGAAGTCCTCGGTAACATACACAAACCTACACGGAACAAGATCCCACAAAACACAAGTGCACAAAAGGCTGCCTAAGTATGGTTCCCAATCAGAGACAACAAGCAACAGCTGATTCTCGTTGCCTCTGATTGAGAACCACCCCGGCCAACATAGAAACACTTAAACTAGATCGTGAACATAGAACACAAAACATAGACCCTACACACCCTGGCTCAACATACAGTGGGGAGAACAAGTATTTGATACACTGCCAATTTTGCAGGTTTTCCTACTTACAAAGCATGTAGAGGTCTGTAATTTGTATCATAGGTACACTTCAACTGTGAGAGACGGAATCTAAAACAAAAATCCAGAAAATCACATTGTATGATTTTTAAGTAATTAATTTCTATTTTATTGCATGACATAAGTATTTGATCACCTACCAACCAGTAAGAATTCCGTCTCTCACAGACCTGTTAATTTTTCTTTAAGAAGCCCTCCTGTTCTCCACTTATTACCTGTATTAACTGCACCTGTTTGAACTCGTTACCTGTATAAAAGACACCTGTCCACACACTCAATCAAACGGACTCCAACCTCTCCACAATGGCCAAGACCAGAGAGCTGTGTAAGGACATTAGGGATAAAATTGTAGACCTGCACAAGGCTGGGATGGGCTACAGGACAATAGGCAAGCAGCTTGGTGAGAAGGCAACAACTGTTGGCGCAAATATTAGAAAATGGAAGAAGTTCAAGATGACAGTCAATCACCCTCGGTCTGGGGCTCCATGCAACATCTCACCTCGTGGGGCATCAATGATCATGAGGAAGGTGAGGGATCAGCCCAGAACTACACAGCAGGACCTGGTCAATGACCTGAAGAGAGCTGGGACCACAGTCTCAAAGAAAACCATTAGTAACACACTACGCCGTCATGGATTAAAATCCTGCAGCGCACGCAAGGTCCCCCTGCTCAAGCCAGCGCATGTCCAGGCCCGTCTGAAGTTTGCCAATGACCATCTGGATGATCCAGAGGAGGAATGGGAGAAGGTCATGTGATCTGATGAGACAAAAATAGAGCTTTTTGGTCTAAACTCTACTCGCTGTGTTTGGAGGAAGAAGAAGGATGAGTACAACCCCAAGAACACCATCCTAACCGTGAAGCATGGAGGTGGAAACATCATTCTTTGGAGATGCTTTTCTACAAAGGGGACAGGACGACTGCACCGTACTGAGGGGAGGATGGATGGGGCCATGTATCGCGAGATCTTGGCCAACAACCTCCTTCCCTCAGTAAGAGCATTGAAGATGGGTCATGGCTGGGTCTTCCAGCATGACAACGTCCCGAAACACACAGCCAGGGCAACTAAGGAGTGGCTCCGTAAGAAGCATCTCAAGGTCCTGGAGTGGCCTAGCCATTCTCCAGACCTGAACCCAATAGAAAATCTTTGGAGGGAGCTGAAAGTCCGTATTGCCCAGCGACAGCCCCGAAACCTGAAGGATCTGGAGAAGGTCTGTATGGAGGAGTGGGCCAAAATCCCTGCTGCAGTGTGTGCAAACTTGGTCAAGAACTACAGGAAACGTATGATCTCTGTAATTGCAA